CACCAGTGTCCATAAAATACAGTAGAATTCTCCTGACTCAAGTTACTTCTAGCTTTACTTGTCTTCAGTTGTAAAGCCTCTCACACCTCTCATTCAGAACTATAAGCGTGCCCAAAAAAACACCTGCTGACAAAAATATATTTCTCTGACTTACACTGGTGAAATGTAAAAAGACTGTTTCACCTTAACCTTTGATAGGACAAGCCTTCCTAAAAATGAAGGAAAGGAGGAAAGTGGTGTGTTGCTTTTGATAGACAGAACACACCTGGATTTTATATCTTAGCAGATGTATGAACTCAGACAGTTCTTGTAATATCTTCTAATGGAAGACCAAATTCCAGTCCTCATGCTTTCCAAAGATGGTTTGTAAAAATACTACCCAAATAACAAGCAAGTAATACTTTTAATGCATCAGTCAGGTCCTAGCATGTCAGATCTGGGTGAACGTCTTCTGTCAGAATAAAGAGGAATATTGCCCTAAATGAATGGAAGCTGGAATTTGCAAAGCCACAGAAGAGCAAGAATCCTTCACTGACATAACAGAGAGAGATGGGAATAAATCTTTCCCTGGTTTACAAAATGTCAATGATTCTCTCTGCAGATACAACACAAAGATTAAGGAACAGTACCTCATGCACACTGTCAAGGAAAAGTGTTAAGCCTCGGAACCTGTTTGTATTGGATTCTACTAGATGTTTTGTGACCTTACCAGTTTGTCCCTCAATTACAGACATCCTGCAGATCAACAAAGCTGCAGCAACTCCTTCAGTTACCATGGGAACCTGAGTACTTTGAGATGCTGCTTTTTCTACTGTCTGGATTAGCATTGGCAGCAGGTCCATGCCCTGTAATAATGTGTCACCTGAGAAGACAGAAAGAGACAAGTTACAAAACAACATAATCCTTCACACTTTACACCACAAGGGTATCAATGGTTCTTCTGTTGTCATGAGACAAGGAAAGGAACTAGGCACATACTGGAAAGGCTATGAATCTCCCAGAGTACTTGCCAATCACTACTATCCTTAAACTTTGACAAGCTAGATGATAAGCACTTTAGTCCCTTCCTCACAGATAGAAAAGTCCCATCTCAATATGAGTTTCTGTTCACAGGATGCAAAAGAAAATGCTAATTCAGTTACATTAAAGGAATTGGTTCAAATCACAGGAAGTCTGCCTTCAAAGATTATGTTTCCCTAAGAGAGGGAAAGTAAATTCCTGGCAAGCCACGACCATCTGTTCCACTTCAAACAGTCACAAGTCAAGGAATCCCACTGATCTGCAACCCTTGCTTCCACAGAAACTGAGCTAGGTGTTCCTGGTATTTCCAGAAACAACATCTCACGCACAACACTGAGAAAAGAAACAAAAGACCTTGTGATTTTCTACGTTAAGTATTCGCAGGTAGTGTTTTAACCATAAATTCATAAGACTTAGAATCTCTATTTTCTTTATGTCCCAGTTGGATGCTTCAGTGGATGGGTCAAAACAATGGTAGTCATTGTTCCAGTGGTGAGTAAATCATTTTAGAATGTAAGTTTCTTGAGCCTTGATCCCCTGAACAGCTGCACACATCACACACAAGTAATCCCCTTTGCCCATAGCAAGCATAAGCAACTTCAGGTTTGCCGTATTGATGTCTCTGAAAGGACCGCCATCCTGTGACGTCTAAGTAGTTTCTAGAGTGTTTTTTTCAGCCCTATGATAGCACAAATTCCTGGTAACTACAATAGAAAAATGCAAAATTACAATTTCACTCATATTCATATTGAGAAAGTGATGGCTAATCCATTGTACCTATACAATACACTGAGTTATTGATCTCTTAAGCAAATGTATACCATCTTTTTGATTCACACTGCATCAACAAGAAAGGGAGATCTCACATACGGGCATCAGACTGATCGCCTATTGACCCGTGCATGAAATGCTGAAGTCAAAAGGGATAGGACCAACAGATGCAAATCTCAAAAGGACCACCAAAAGTTTAGAATTTCTTAAGATCTTCATTTCAAACACAGTAATATTTTTATTTTTTTTTTAAAGCTTCCAAAAGCCACAGACCAGGATCCCAGCATGCTGGGTGCTATAAAAAACAAAAGCATGGTCCCTGAGCTAGAAACCTTACAATTTAAGCATAAGACAAAAATAAAGCAATCAAAAATTACTCCGGGGGTATATAAAAGACAGCATGATGGGCAGTGATGCTAGTGAAACAAGGAGACAAACCATCTTTATAAACTTGGAAGGCAAAAAGGAGTTTAAGGAGAAATACAAAGTAGGTCAGTGAATGGGTACTGCCTTACAAAATCTTTCTTAATCCACACAGCTATCTACTTATATCAGGAAGCAGAAAAGTTGATTAGTCTTAAGCCACACAGTCAAGAGAGTTATTAATAGCTGCACAGTTTTACCTTTGAAAGAGGCTAGCATGCACTGCAGGTAGGCATGTCTCACAGCTGAAGTAGAGGTTTTAAGGCTGAAGGCTTTCTTTAGCCATTCTACCAGCTTCTTGGGAACTTCTGTGGTGAACCGAACACACCAAAGAGCCAGGACAGAGACTGCATGAACCAATGTGCCTTCATGGACTAGGAATTAACACAGAGCTCATGTCAGTACAGCAACTGCATAAAACACAGGAACATAAACCAGAAAGCAGGTAACAATGTCAGGAGGAGGCAGGAAAAGAATGCATGTGCTTCTAACAGACACAGCACTGTCTCTATGGGGTTGCTCATCAAAACAGGGCAACAGATTTTATAACACAACAGGCGAGAATCCAGATTTATCCCGAATAACATGCCGTACGAAAATCCTGCTCAAGACGAAAGCAGCTTAGCAAACCCGGAACAAAGGCAAGAGGTCTAACCTTCTTGTTGCAGGAAAGGGATGAAAAGCTCAGCCACAGTTCCAGTCAGAGCTTGGCTAGAGGATCCCGAAACCACATGGTGACTAAGGCTGCCGATCCCTGAAAGGACAGAGTTCTCTCATTAGTTCCCAAACTACCAGCACTTGCTGCAAAATCTAAAAACAATCAAGAATGACCCTTCACATTTCAATCCTTGCACAGACATCTCTTTTTCTTGTCACTACATCTGGATGTCACATCTACCATGTACCAATACTGCAGGACCTGTCTTCATTTTCACTTAGGATACAGTCATCTTCCTCCTTGCATAAAACACTTAGCCCACCAGCCAATTATTTCCTTTGAATAGAAAGTCAAGAACTGGCATGTGGTATCCAGCACCCTCTGTGACATCAACTACAGCCAATTTGGAATGACAGGCAGGGAATCCTAAAGGCTTAAGTACAGATCCCTTTCGTTCAGCCTTCTGCTGAATTTCTTCCACCAGAGAAGCAGCTTTCTTCTAGGATTCTCACCAGAAAGGACACTCATCTTCTGAGCAACAACTGTCAGCTTCCCTTCTGAGCCTGCCAAATAGAAACAAATGGGTGATGGCTGACTTACAGACAACAGCTACGTGCTACATCAAGAATCTTCTCTAAAATACAAAACCTTGCCCCATTATCCCTGATCCAGGTTGAGCCAACCCTACCATACAGGCAGCTAAAGACAACAGAAAATACAATACACAAAACTCCTTGAAGCTGGCAAACCTTTATTCATCTCCACTGCTTATCCTACAATTTACTCACCCCCTAAGATGGCAAAAAGGTGTTTGCCCAGTGACTCCACAGCTGAAGGATCACTACACTGTCGAGCCAAGTTCTTTAATGCCACAACTGCTTCATCCATCAGCTGCACACTGTTGGATTTCAGATGACCTAGAAAATAATGCACAAGCTAAGAGCTCCTCACGACAAACTGCACAAAATCAGCAAGGCAACTTATCTTTACATGTGGATTGACTCAGCTTCTGGAACAGTCACATGAACTATTCCAGTTCCAAATTACAGCATCATCCTCCCTCCCACATAAAACAACCTCTTCACCAGTAATCAAGCTGTTATAGGTACAGCCAGAAAGTTGAAGAGAATTCATCATTCCCTCCCGAAGTTAGAGTACTTACTGGCCAGTCCTTTCACAATGTCTAGAGCATATTGGCTGAGATCCAGGTTCACAGATACAAGCAAGCAAGAGATTGCTGACAACAGAAGAGATAATGGCATATTACGTTTTGTTAAGTAACTGTTTTTAGCATTTTAATACACCCTTCCCCACGGTTCACATCAAGAGCAGACAAGGTCAGTAAGGAGTAGGAAGAAAAAAACCACTGAAATTGATGCCCAGTGAACAGATTAATTCAGGATTATTCTTAGCACTCAGCTGTGAAATTCTGTCCTCAGTGCAAACAGTAGCTATCACATACCCAGACACTTGGGATCACACCACAAATGTTGCTTCTCCACATCTAACCCTCAGACACCAGACAATCCTGCTGCCTGTGCTCACAGGACCAAAAGCATAGTCCAGAGAGACACACTCCCCCAACAACTCCAGACCTCTAAGGAACAACTATTCATGAGCTTTGACAGAACAATGCAGAGAAATGACAGACTCACTTTCAATTACGTTCTCAGGACTCCGTAGTAGGGACTTCTGCAGAGTTGGCAAAACTAAGTCCTTGAATTCAGCGTGAGACATGTACCGAAGAAGCGGGGAACAGCTGTCCTGCAAAGGGTACAAAGCGCTCAGCACAGCAGCAGATGTGGCATGTAGGACAAAAGCACAAACAGCTCTGTAACAGTGTGTCTCACCAGCACGTGTTTCTGAGGCTTTGTCTTGCTCATAAGGATGGTCTTCAAATAGAAATCCAGAAGAGCACTCTGAACAAGCAGAAACACCAAATTACAGCCACATCACAACCTATACACAGCTCCCTGTACACCATCAGGAAGCCAGGCTTGACACCCCACCTCATTTTCCTCTGGAAGGCAGCCCTATCCACTAAGCAGGAGCTTTGCTTCCATCCTCACATAAGACAGTCAAGCAAAGATCAGTGCTCTCTGCTCTACCCTTCAGCCCAACACTCAAACCTACAACAGGGGAGAAAGCAGAAAGCTGCAGTGTTGGCTGTCTACATAAATGCACATGCCACAGCAAAAAGCCGCATATCTGGCACCTCCTCTATAAATCTATCCCAGCTGTTTTAGTCAGAAGTGCATGACTACTGAATTGACAGATAATGAAACCAGGGGCAGATGCAAAGTACCAACCTCGCTGAGACATCTCTTCAGCCCCCTTCTCCATGATGGGAAGTGACGCTACTTATTCCCCCAAAAAAGCAGTACAACAGATTTACCTTATATCGTTTAACAATATCAATCTCTTTCTGGGCTGTGCAAAATTGCACCACAAGTCCCAGCATTGCAGCGTAACTCTGGTTTGGTTCAAGACCAAGAATGACAGATAGGTACTGGTCCACCAGATCTTGGTTCTGAAGAGAAAAAGAGCAAGGCACATTAACACAACAGAATCTAGAACAGCTATTGCATATAGTCATACAAGGTATACATCACCTCTTTCCACAGCCTGTTCAATTTCTTCACAGCCCCATCCACCGCCTGCTTATGAGAACCTCCCAGGACTTCCAAAAGGAGCAAACACTGAACCTCCACCTGCCAAAGGAAATAGCCGAGAAAACCTTCATGCACCTGCTCCTCAGAGAGCTCATATCAAACGAGGCATGTCAGATGCCAGTAACTAGCTGAATCTGCTTAGGAAAAAGTCCTTAGGTCATGTAAGTTCTTCCAATGAGCTGCCATTGCTTTCATCTCACACACACCACTTTGCAGAACCACACATAGCAGCTTTGGAAACTCTTACTTTGAAAACAGTGATTTATAACACATAACATCTCTTCTGAAAATGTATTCCAACCATATTCGAAGGTGCTATGAGCATGGTCACAGGTTCAGGTTGTTAAAGTAGGTGAAAAGAAAGGAAAAACCTACTTGACACTATATGACAGAATATCACATGCAAATACTTCAAGGGAGGCACAAGGAATTCATGCCATGCTGCATACTGCACCTTGGAGGCACCACTAGCACACCTAGTCCAGAAACACTGGTATACACCATGGTATGCAGAGCAACTCTGTGTGGGTGCAAGACTGCCCCACTGTCATGTTTTATACACCTCCTGCTTTCTCCAGCGGAACAGGAGAGATCAAAATACACCAGAAAGCAAAAAAGATTGTCATGCAAACCTGGATTTTAACATGACATTATCAGTTACATTCAGATTTGCAATGTTTCAGCAACTTCAAAGACATTAGAAATCTTTAAGTCCTTATCTCCGAAGGGATATTTCTGTAAACCAAAAAGAACCTACCAGTTTTTTCCATGTTTCTCCTTGTCTCTTTTCAGGTGTTGGAAAGACTGTGCGTACAAGCAGGCATGTCCAGGAGAGCGCCAGCAGAGCTGCAGATCCACTGCTCTTACTGTTGTACAAACGGGAGAAGAAGGTAAATCTATTACTCCCAGTGTGTAACTTACATCTACTAGTCCCTAACAGACTCATCTTTGCCCAAGTCAGAACACCACCTTATAAGCGAGGCAATTTTATCACAGAAAAATATAGCTAAAGTCTTAGCATTTAAAGCAAATAATTACTCCTCATAACCTATGTGTTCCAGCTCCTGTTTAACGCTTAGAACTTCTGAATGGCATAAACAAGGCTAAGTCTTGACTGCTGGGAATGAAAAACCTTAGCAGAAGACAGACCATTTTTGGATCTTCCCAGTGGCATTACAGAAATGAGAGTTAAATACTTTGCCAACTGAGAGTGCCCAAAAAGTGACTCAAGACTTCTCATCTGCTGCTCATCTTTACTGTCAGAGCTTCCCAGCCTTAGATTGCCAAATTGTTTCTCAGCTTACATTCCCTCCTGGCACACTACTCAGTTCTCATTTCTGCTAACTCTCACCTCCTCCCTCCACTTCAGGTAATGGATCCCACCTTGCAGCTCCCTGAGGATCCTCACCCCATTTTGATCTTTACCTCAAAGCGAAAGAACGTAGAAAGCTTCCCTGCACACAAGGCTAGCTACTGCAACTGAAGGGTAAATATTGTATCTCTGCAAGCCTTTAAACCAATATCAGATATTTTTCTAAAAGCTACACTTCTATTGAGCCATGGAGGCACTGCAGGACGACACTCTGTGGCCTGTATCAGCTGAACAATACCCTAAGTCACCTTTTGGAATGACTAGTGTTTCCAGAAGCTATCACAATAGAAAAACCACGTGTTTCTCAGCTCAGCTTCAAATTTCATTATCTCCCTGCCTGTAAGAAGGTCTTGAATTCCACCAGCTGAACACCAGATGGGCGAGGAAATCCCCTTTCCTAATCATTCTGGAGACTGTTTCTTGGTAAAAGAGTTTGTTCCTCATTTCTCCAGACCTGAAGGTTAACAAAGGCAAAATCGTAACTCAGACCCAATCCACCAGCAGTAATACCACAATAGTCCTTCTGCTTTCCCAGAAGACATGAGAGACGTAAGAGAGGAACATTTAAATGGTCATTAACAGCTTTGTCTCTAAATGTTTTCAGCGCCTCTGGCAAGCAGCAGCAGAAGAATCATTTTGAACACAAGAGCAACTACCAGCAACTCGGAACTGCTTCTACACAAAGCAACTCATCCAGCACCTGGGAACTCCAGCCTTGCTGCCGATCCCTGAGGACTGAAGCGACTGCAGAAGGTTTTTTGCTGTTGCATCTGGCTGGGATTCTGCGAGCTGCTGAAGCGCCAGCTGCAGGGCTCTGCGGGATGCTGCATCGCTAGAATGAAAAATTTATCTCCATGAACATTTTAAATCCTGCCAACATTACACATATTACTACCCTTGTGTCACACAAAGGACACTGCCTTCTCATTTCAGCAGTCAAGCTAATAATTATTTTATCCATGCTGTTCCAAGTAGAGAAGTTTCTGGCAGAAAGCTCCATTCCTTTCCTCAACTGACAGAAGTTATGTCGAGGCTCTCTGTCAGGTTGCAGAAGAAAACATAGGTTCTGAACAGCTTTCTCTACAACAGGCCACTATTTAATCCAATCTAGAAGTATCTAAAAGACACCTAAAGGACATCTTAGTCTTGCTTCACAAGCATTCCTTCTTGCAAACTGAACCACAGAAAGAAAGTTTTTTCAAAATTAAAGGTGAAACACAAGGTAAGTGTTATAAAACTCTTTAATGTCAAACCTAACTTGAGAGCCCAATTACTAGATAGCATCTTTCAGTGTCATATGCACCTATGTGACACTACATGCTAACATTTCCAGCTGCTCCACACCAGTTTAACTAATAAATACATAAATACTGATAGATTAAATAACACAGCCTTTCCACATCAATTTACTCACCGGTATCGATGCAGAGTAAGGCAGAAGAGTTTGCAAAGGCCTTTCACTGCACCCTCTGGAAGATCTGTAACAGAACGTATTTCAAAATATTTCTTCATAGATCAATGAGCTTTTAATCCTTAACACAAACATGATTCACTTCACAACTGAAATCTATGAACTGCTCACATCTATGAAATTGCTTGCAAAGATCATAGTAAAAGTTCTCTCTTTACAAATTTTTATGCATATTTTTAAAATAATGGCAAAATTAGAACACATGCTATTCCACAGTCATCTTCAGAAAACGGCAGAAATTAAAAAGATTTTTTAAAATTTGCTTTAACTGTTTTATTAAGACTATCTGAAATCTTCTACACTCTCCATCTCTCTACATATATATATATATGTGTGTGTATATAAATACTCCATGAATCATTAAAAAAAACAGGCTAAGAGTCAGGAGAGAAACCGGCAACTGACACACAAACGAAAAACCAACATACATGATGCTACAACTACTAACTGGAAAAAGCACACGTTAGTAACCAGAGTTCTGTGCTACCTACAAAACCCATGCTTAGAATTAATGCCGTGAGAAAGCACAGGCTCCAAACGCTGCCAGCCCTCTCCCTCAAAAAACTATGCCTCAAGTTTCACACAGCCTTTGAAACAACACATATTAACATTCTTCTCCACCCTGGTAACCAGAACAGTGCCCCAAAGCTTTTACCTTTCCCAGAAATGCATTTTCCCAGCTCACTGAGGATCTCTCTCCGCTCCTTCACACTGGCTGTTGTTACTTTTACTGCAAACCGCTTCAGTGTATCAGAAATCTAAAACCACACACAGAGGAAAAAACATCAGACTGCCTTTGATATCAACACACAGAATGCAAAACCAGGGCAAGCAAAACATGTCATCTGCTGCTACACGATCTCTTAGTGACCAAATGTGAGCATCTGCAGTCTTACCTGCTGGGGAAAGGGTCACTGTACATCATACATGATGAAACTCACAAACCCTCCCCTTAGGCTGAGGGATGACTGTTTTCTGTTTGTTAACCTGTGTCCCTGTCACGGCACTCATGCTCTGTAAGATACGCTTACCCCTCTAAAAGTAACACAGAGCAAGAGGTAAGATCAAGAGCCTAGAGTACAGGACCTTTAACAGCAAAAAAAAAAAAAAAAGCACTTCAAGAACGCAAAGGTGCTTTTCAGTGTACGTTATCTCCTAAAGCCCATGCACCCCTGAAGGGGGACTTCTAACAGCAGATGACCCAGGGCTGACTGTAATCGCCCGTCCTGAAAAAATGACCTGTGGTTTCAGGCTGTCAGTCATAGAATAGAACCATAGGATGGTTTGGGTTGGAAGGGACCTTAAAGATCATCTACTTCCAATCCCCCTGCCATGGGCAGGGACACCTTCCACCAGACCAGGTTGCTCGAAGCCCCACCCAACCTGGCCTTGAATAGTTGTGAAATTCTGTAGTCAGGCCTAGCAAAAGAATAAACTGCTCACATTCACTCTTTTCCCAAATTAACAGGCACATTGCAGGGATTTTGTAAACTGGACCCGCCAGATTACAAAAGGTTGCGCCTCACTATCAAACTCCTTCCATGCGCTATCAGTAGCGCTCAAGGTTACCCAAGCAAAATGAAAAATCACATCACACAACTGAATGTTTTTTTCATGCCTGTGCTACTGAGTGCCTGGATCTGCCAGCTGGAAGGGACTGAAACTGCTTACTGAGTTTAACTCCTATAAATAGTTTGTTTCAGTTTTCAAGTGGTATCAAGACAGTGAGATAAACTTCTTTCTAGTCTTTCCAGACAGTATAAGTTCTCAGCAACCTGCTCCTTCAACTGCTGAAACCATTTCCATGAACTTCCAAGTCTTCCAAGATATGCAAGATAAAAACTTTCTCTGGGCTGAACAGGGCTCAGCCAGGTCTACGTTCATGGGTTTTCTGCATTTACATAAATGAAAACACAGCTCTCCAGAAAAGGCTTTTAAAATTCACTTCTTTAACTGAGCAACTTTATATGTTAATAATAATCATCATCATCTTTAGGAAGGGCAGCAAATAAACATGCCTTTATCAAAACTGTTCCTTCCGTCTTCAAGCACTGCTCTAACAGTTTTGCCACAAGTCTTCTTCGAAGCACAGGAAACTTGGCAACTGAGAAATGGCAACTACCTCCATCCTTCTCAAGAGCTGCTTTCACTGAAGTTTTTTTGCTGACATGCAGGAAGGGTAATTCTATGCTGCAGCTACCCGACATTTAGAGAGGCCGTCCACACCTACCCGACCCTGTGACCATCTCTCACCCTGAGCTCTCCTTAAAAACTGGCTGAAAGCAGGGCTGCACCTCTGAACGCTAAGGCACAGGTCGACCAACGTTGTTACCATCAGAACTGACAGAACAAGTCGCCATTAAAGAGCTCATCTTCTTTTCAAACCTTTCAATTACATGACTTTGTCATATGCAAACTCAAACCAAGCTGCACTTACTCATGCTGCTTAATCAGAAGCAGGGAGACGTACAGACATGAAAAGCACATTAAAATTATCCCAACAGTCTAGAAATTAAAAATATAAATTATGTATAACACTACAGGACTTCCCAAACAGCTTAGTGACTTGCACAAACGGCACAAACTATGACTCCCCAGTCTCCAGGGAAGAGCTGCTGGGACAGGCTTCACCCATTTGCTTTTTTTTTTTTTTATTAGGATGCACATGTACACGTGTTCCAAGGCTAGGATGCAAGCAATGCTGCTGCAAACGAACGCAGAGAACAGACTGCGGTATTTGTACTAGTAAGGACCTGATCCTGAGAAGGCTGGGATCCGCCTTGGGAACATCCCAACCTAATGCACCAAGCTGGAGAAAAAAAAAGCCCATCGGGGCGTAACAGGCGACCCCAGGCACTCGGGAGCGCTTCCACCCCGGCAGGCTCCGCTCAGCCGCCCGGAGCGGGGACAAGGCTCGGGCTCTCCCTTTCCAAACGGGGCTCCCGGCGGCCGCAGCCCCCGCTGAGTCGCTGGGAGCAGGGGGGGAAGGCCGCGGGCCCGCCGAGCCCGGCGTTGGGCCGGCAGCCGCAGACGAGACTCAGCCGGCAAGGACGCAGCTTGCGCCAGTCGTTTATCGGGAACTGACTTCGGGAACTGACTTCGGGAGCGGGCGGGATCCTCCCCAGCGCGGCAGCCGCCGTCCCGCGCTTCTCTCCGGGCCGCGGCAGCCGCTCACGGAGCGGCGGCTCAGCCCCGGCTCCCCGGCCGCCTCAGAGCTGGAAAGAGACCGGCAGCGGGGCGTCCCTTCCCTCGCCCCGCCGGTCGGGGCACGGCGCCGGTGCGGCCTCCCTGCAGGCGGCTCC